CCCCCCGGCCGCCCCGCACCACGACAGTATCTCCTCGCCAAAGTGGCATCCTCCGCAGTCAGCAGACCGCGACCCACGAGCAGTGGACCGGACCCAACCAGCGCAGCCAGGAGCAGAGAGAGAGAGAGAGAGAGAGAGAGAGAGAGAGAGAGAGAGAGAGAGAGAGAGAGAGCAGAGGAAAGGGGAGGAGGGAGGGGGGGGGGCCTGATAGGCACCCGGCCGTCAAAGTTAAACGCTACCCAGCTGTGAGCTATGCCGCCATCGGCCCACCCCCTCCGACCGGAGCTGGAGGACACGGGACGTTGCATTTAAACTCATCGGTCGGTGCAATTGCACAATCAAAGTGGTTGTGTGATTGTTACTGGTTGCACGACGCTGTCGCTTGCTGCTGCGGGTGAGTGCGTCGCTTGGATCGGAGAGGCGACTTTAAACTGTCTATCAAACAAGAAACAAGTTTCAGTATTAAAACCTGCTTGAGTCCCAGAGAGGGCCAGATCGGGCCGGATACACATCCTATTGTGGCTATATACGATACGTGTGGTCGCGTGAGGGCTCAACATGCTAAGATTAAAACAGTTTACTGTTTTTTTCTTCTTTTTAGTCTTAGCTAATGCAAAAGGGAATGCACACGTACTGCACAAATGACTATTTCATGGTGCAAATGACATACCGGTCTAGGTGACGGACTGGACAGAAGTGTCGTGGGAAAAGGCGGCTGGGGGCGACGGAGAGGGGGGGGGGCGGCAAGGGCCGCATGGACAAGAAGTCCAGTCACGAACAGTCAGCCGCGAGGAAACCGAATGGAAACTGACAAGCGAAAGGGCCGCGAGCCCATAGCAGGCGCGAGCCGAGAGAGAGCCTGGCAGTTTAAGCACTCGTCTTCCCATTCGTCCGCGAGCGACCCTAACCGCGGGGGCAACCACACCCGCTAGCGCTGCTCACTAGACTCTAGGAGGCTGGTAGTCCCCCTCCCTCCCCCCGCCCTATTGTTTCCGCTGTTACCCATAGGACGAGCAGCGCAGCGCGCACGGCCGAGCACTATACAACAACTATACTACCACCTCCCCAGCACACGGCGCACTCTCTGAAACAATTACGAGTGGGACGGGCAGATTTGGGCCAACTTTTTAGTCAGCGCGCTAACTCCCATCCCTCCCGCACGCCCCTCGGCGCGTGCCTGTGACCAGCTCCCCCGGGGCGGAGGGAGGAGCGGAGCGGCACATACAGACTGACAGCCGTGGCGGCCTCGTTGACGCGTGTGGGCGGGGTGTGACTTTGTGCGTTCTGTATTTTTACACACGCGGACGAGCGTTTTATTTTTATCTTTCGCATTCATAAATTCATCCGAGAGCAGATGGCGTATCATCCTAAACGTTATAATGTATGGGCTTTATTCCCGTCCACCAATTTAAGTCGGGCGCGGGAAAACTTTGCGGCGCGTCAAACCGCATATGCTTCTTCTTTCCGCACACCGTGACCGCGTGGCGTCAACTACTTACTGCTTGTCGCTGTGTATGTTCCTTGTGCATCACTCTTGTGCGTCACTGTGTGTGTCACCGTGTGTAGCAGTGTAGACCGCGAGCAAGTGCGCGAGTTGAAATCTGAAACTAAACAGACGCGCACCGCGCTCTCGCACCACGCCAGTCCCCAAGCTCAGCGTCGTCAGTTCAGTTCCCCCTCGCGACGCCACTGCTCACCCGCAATTTGCCCATACCCTGTTACGCCGTCTCCGCGTCTATCGCTTCTTTCCCAGCCATTTCGCTCATCTTTTTATTTTTTTCCTCGCTCGCGCTCGGGTGTTCACCGCGGGGGCGGAGCTCCTCCGCACTCGTTCCTCCTCGCGCCACACACCGTCCGCTTTGCCGAGCTATGCTTTTTCGCGGCGGCGCGGTGCCTTTCTCTCCCACGCGCGAACCGCAGTCGCCCCGCACGCAAATTGAGTGGACTGGGGCGGCGGCGTTGAACCCGTCCACGGCAGCGGGGGCGGGGCAGGGCGTGGTGGGGCGTGGTGGGGCGCGGCGCGGCGGGGCAGGGACCACACTCGCTCGCCCCCCCCCCCTTACTTTTCCGGAAGGGGATGGAAAACGATTATTACTTACTATTGTCGTGCCCACCACACACACACACACACACGCGCGCGCGCGCGCGCGATAGAAAGTTTGAATGGGAGTAAGAAAAAATAAAATAAATGATCTTATTTTCTTTTTTTCCCCTGCCACACTCCCCTCGACGCCGGCGCCCCCTCTTTCTGTCGAATTTCCGGAGGAGCGAGCGGAAATGACGACAAAATGTTTAATATCATATGTACGTATATGGAGAGGGAAACGCACTCTGCTTGGCCCCCGCTCTCTCTCTCACACACACACACACAAACGCACTCACACTCAAAGTCGTTTCTCACGAACCTATATTTCCACTCCCCTCCCTCCCCCTCTGCCCTCCTACGCCCCCTCTCTGAGCGGTGTTTTCCTTTATTGCTCACTCATCCGGTGCCCATGTGGCGAAAAACGAGCAGCTGCTCTGTATCACCGGAACAGAGGCGCGGGGGTGGACGGCGCGCAAGGCGAACCGGAAGGGTGAACCATGAGACAGGGGGTCAACACACCAAACAATAGAAAGTCGTTCGCATTACGACGCAGCAAATATCACGGCCGGCACCCCACAATTTATTTCCGTTTTTTTCTAAAAAGTATTTTTAGTTGATTTTATTATTTTATTGAGCAGGAGGATTGATGTAAATGTGTATGGGATAGGACTGTATTACTACTATTCAAATTGGCAAGTC